GTTAACAAATCTATTTGATGAATTAAAAGATTATGTTTTATCACCTATCTTTCCCATTGAATTTGGAAAACTCTGAGGAGTGTGATTAAAATTCCTTTTAAGAGTTATCTTGAAGACTTGACCAAAAAGGAGTATGTGTTTTGCAGATGGTAATTTGTCGTACAAACGAAGCAGTCAAGCAATACAATTATCCATTCTTGTAATTTTAAGGTAAATAATCAGTTAATCACTTCTTGTTTCTTGAAGCTTTTTCCTTGGTAGCAATTTATTCTCTTGTGGTTGATATGCGCATTATACGATCTTTTCACCACATACTTTTTGCATTAGGAGAACTAAAGTTGTAACATGTACAATCCAACTACTGGTTAGCTTGTATTGAAGGTTGGTCTATCAAGCAATACAATTATCCATACTCGTAAATTTACGATAAATAATCACATCTTATTTCTTGAAGCTACCACCTCACCTTTGTAGCAGTTTATTCTCCTGTGACTGATATGAGCATTACAAGAGCTTTTCATCGCATACTTGTTGCAGCTTGACAATCCAGTTGCTGGTTAGCTTGTTCTGGGACAAAAGTCTAAGTTTTATGTAAAGTATGATTTCCTTGTGATTTGGTGTGTGTTATGAGGGTGTGGATTGATCATGGTATGTGAGATTAGTGAAAGAGAAAGCATTAAAAGAGTACGCACCTGACTTCCTTGGTTTTTGAGTATATGGCATAGCCCTGCACATGTGTCAAGAGGTTATGTTGATCTGAGTAGGCCTTAAAATTAGTGAAAGAGATAGCAGTAAAAAGAGTACTTACCTGACTTCCGATGTTGTCGAATATACGTATGGACATTTTAACTGCACTTCTAGCATTTAAAGTTGCTAGTTCTTGAGACATATCCCCATCATGTAAGTGACTTAAGGCTGTATCCTTCACTCAACACATGTGTATACTGTTCTTTACCAGTCTTGAGTGATTGAGAATTATGAATGCTAATCATTGGAAATTCAATGCAGTTTATGCAGTTATTTATAGAATTCTAGGACATCTATGGTTCTTCAGATTATCTCACCAGGCTAAGCTTCTAGAACATGTCTGGGCTGTATGGTTAAAATCCCCTGTGCCGCTTCCCTCTCATTATTCTTCTGGTTCAGAATTAAATGCGTTTAGTAATGATTTATATTTTGATGTTATCCATGTGAATGTGTTCAGATGCCTATAGTTCGTAAACATATCCTATGTCAATTTTGTAAATTTTTTCAAAAATACAATTTTATATAATGGAACAACAAGTGGTTTTTAGTTATCTCATTTTTTAACATTATTGTACAAAAATTTTAGTTTGCCAAATAAGGAAAAGGAAAATGGAAGAAGACGATGCTAGTAAAAGTTCCCTGTCTGAATGGTGATTATCCCTAAAAGGCATTGTGATTAGTAATGTTTTACTGCATAGATTAGTTATTTAGAGTGTGTTTGGCCTAGCTAGAGTTTTAGAAATAATGTTTTTTGAGTAGAGCACTTGTGGAAGTGTTGAATCATGTAATTAGACAGAACAATTATAAATAATTTTTGAAATTGAAAAAATAACGAACTCAGAAGTTTATTTGTAGCTTCAGCTTCTAATCCTCTGGAAGCTGAAATTTTCCTTTTCCTCCAACTAGGATCTGATGGCTTATTCTACTAGAAGAGAGAAAGTAGTACTAATTTGGGATCTCTTTGTTTGAGAGCACAAATGTGTAGCACAAATGGATGCACCAGTTCAACTTCATTGAACACAACAAGTTTTAGAACATCCAGGTAGCGTAAGACAAGCATTCCTTTCCAAATTATTGCATAATCTACATAGAGTTGCTTGTTTCATATTTCATTTTATAGAAATTCTAAAATGCATGCTCATGAAACATTTCATACCATGTCTGATTGTCTTTTTCCTCAACACATTTAATGTAGTAGCTGACATAGAAGATCTCAGTGGCAGCAGCTTTGCCTTTTAACTGTCAATCTACCACCTTCCAACCATTTCACTAATGCAATTGTAATCTGTTACAAGTTCAAAACAGTTATTCTCATGATTTCCATTGAAATTATTTCTTTTTTTCCATTGTAATAATTTTTTCTTTCACTAATGCAATTGTAATCTATCTCTATGCATGCAAACTAGTATTGAGAAAATTTACCCCAATTTCATTGATTTTTCTGGTGCATCATTCTTATGTGGTTGTGGCTGACTTAGGTGCAGTTGAAAAGGGGTTTGCATGTCATATCCATTGCTGAAAGTGTAAGTTGGGTGCGATCTTCTGTCAGCTTGATTTGCATCCCTCTGTCCATACACCTGAGTCCAAAAATTGGTATTTACATGTGGTAAGAGATAAATATTTGACTTTATTGAATTGCAAGATGAATTTCTTTAGGCTTGTGTCCTGGTTGCATTAGGTTTATAAACTTAGTCTGTCTGTCTATCTATCAATCTATCTGTATATATTATCAGCAGTCTATCTACTATTTAAGGACTGAGGAAAGAAATAAGTCTCTCATTTAAAACCAGGAATACTGTAACTTTAGACATTCTTAGAGATGTATAGTATTGCTAGAAGATACCTTGTTTTGAAGTTCAGCATTTTCCTGGCGAAGAGTGTCGACCTTTTTATAGAGTTCTAGATTCTCCTGATGAATGAGATTTCCCTGCAATGGCACAAATTAGAATTACTCAACCAAAAATTTCTCAAAGTGAAATCTGGTCACTATGTAGAAAATATTCCAAGGGAAACCTTGTGGTCTAGTTCTTTGATTTCATCAGTCATAATTTGGTCCTGCAGGGAAAGGGAAACAGAAACAACACTAGATGAGTTTACTTCAATTTTTATAGCACAGCAGTCCTGTTTTCAAAAGTTTACTTGCCTTTTTTGTACGGACACCTTTTAAACTCATCTCCAGCTGATTTTCCAGGTTCCGTAGATCTTTGACGCTCAAACCAGATAGTTCTTCTCCCATTAGTTGCCTGCATACATGTTGGGTTTTTGATAAGTTGCATATGGGTCTTTTTGGCAGCCAAGTTGAATATGGGTTAATAGTGTTGAAATACCGGATATGTTTATATTATCTCTCCTGAGTTATGTCCTATACATTTTTGAAAGTGATTTGACACTACTAGTTTTTGTTGTCACGATTGCTATTTCTCCTATTACACATCTATTGTTATCAGTACTAGTCATCCTTGTGATAATATTATTATTAGGTTTAGAATTTTAAATTTATAATGCTTGAGTGTTAACTTGCATGACTTCAAGTGTAATTGAAATATTTAATTTGCATTATTTGAAATTATTCTTAAAATTTTTTAGAATCTTCTGATCCTATACTACAATTCAATTTGGGTATCACTCTTTAAGTTGACAAATCAAATCCATGCAAGATTTTAATTATAACAATTTTGATATTAGGCCCTAGCAGTTGCTTCCTTCCTTTGTGAGGTTTAATAGTTTTGACTACCTGTGACACTCTTGCAAGTACTGCAGTTGTTGCCTCAAGCTTGCTGCCTCTCTTTGCCAAAACTACAACACATAAAATCCAATTCAAATAAATAGATTAAAAAAAAATGCAAAATGTAAATGTTTTATGAAGAAGTTATTTTTGTTTTAATTCAACAATAGTATAATGCAGTAATGCACACTGGAAAGAATAATTATGTTTCACAAACATTTTTTTCATGTTAGATTTTATCACTTCCTCTAGCTTACATTGCATTTCTTATTCTTTCAAGTTCTAAAGCATCTATGCTAGGCTGTCTCACTTTAATTTTTACGTATATACATACATACATACATACATATATACATACATATATACATACATACATACATATATATATATATATATATAGGCCAGTCTCACGGTCCTCTAAAAACCATAAAAGACTTAGATTGGATGAGTCCTATAGGGACATGTCAGGGAATATCCTCACGTACTCCCTGTACAACCACAAAGGCTTTCAGTCAGGCTTCCGGCCAAGTTGGAAACAATTAAGACTGACAAGGGTGTGAGGACCAAGGCCTAGTTTCACTTCCTCTAGCAAAGTATATTGCATGTCTTATCTTTCAAGTTCTAAAGCATCTATGTTTGGCTTCTCACTTCAGTTTTAACATAATATACTTGGTGGGTAAAATAGTAAGTAATTTTCTTAAGCAGATTGTTGGTGCGTAATAGCTGTCCATGTTAGGCTTGCGATTGAGATGCAGATGTATGGCTCTAGCATACTGTTACTTGTCCTGCATCTTTTCTGCTCTTAGAAAGAACTTGATTTCTTTTAACACATCATTTTGTTAAAATCGTGCATGAGCCAACTTCATTTAAAACTTGTTTTCAAGATTTATTTCTCTTTGATACAGCATGAGGGGTTGCAGGATCAAGTCTTCTTGTGGGCTTGAATGTCGTGATGTTTCATATGAATGAAGACTCTGTTACTGGGACTGTTTTCACGGGTTAATGCTTACTGGAGGGGAATGTGAAATTGCTTAACAGATCCCTACTCTCTATTTTCTTGTGATCTTCTTGAGCTGTCTCCTGCTGGTCTGTAAAAGATGGAAGACCTTAGATTGGGGGTTCAAGGTGATCTGCGTTCCCAAGTGACAACTCTTTAGGTGAATCTTTGGCTGCACAGGGTATCAGTTGGTATTTTTGTTGAAGTGCATGGGTAATCATGATTGATTGGGAATTTCTCATCCAAAGTAGCTGAGTATCTTTCGAAGGTGAGTAGAAAGCTTAGTTCAAGATTTATTGCTGTCTAATGTTTGTATTTTGTGCTCTGGGCCTCTGGTTGGGATGTTGTTCACGTTTCATACTTAAGATGGGCAAAGCTGTCATGTTGGTAGTTGAAGAATTATTTTCTGTTGGTTGTATTTTTACTTAGATTTTATGCTGAGTGATGGAGTCTATTGCCGTGTTTCAGTGCTACTTGATTTGTCTTTACTATTGTAGTGTTGTGTTGCCTTTGGATCTTGGTGCAGAGGTTATCATGTGTCCTGATTTTTTTTTTTTTTTGAAATGGAGTAAATTTATTTATGGACTCATGTAATCCAACGGTGGTTCCATATTTCAAAGTGATGGTTCGGAAATCAATAGCTGATAATTTATGAAGACTATGCTTTATTTATATATATGCTAAAAGTAAAACAGCTCTGTAACAACAGATAAGTGTAGTTTACCCTGCACAGATTGTAGTTTACTTCACTATTGATAAGGAGGGCAGGCCCTTGGTATTGGGGCTCACTATCTCCATCAATGGTTAAACTGTGGCATTCTGAATGTAACAATACACAGATTATAAAATACATGTATTGAAATATGGTCTTATGGTTAGGGTACAGGGTTTGTAGGTTAATCCATGGAAACATGTGGAATCTACCTTATTGGAATCGGTTCCAAAAGTTTGAAACCGTGAACCTACTTAACCATGCTTGGACCACTCTAGAACCTGCATGACAATCTTCAAGCGGATTTTAGGGCCCATAAGAACCCTGTTTTACTTTTTCTTTTTTTTTTTTATTAAAACCGTTATTGGTATCCATATTATTGTATTTAATTTTGTTTATCTATTTAATTTAATTTAACAAAAGATACACTCTTGCATGCTGTATGTTACCATTATACATCAATCATTTAAGTATTTAACAGCATATCCTATCTAAAGTACATCTTATTCAATGTGATAAGGAATTTAATGATAAACTAAGATTTAATATGGTTGTGGTTTGAGTTTCTAGTTTCGGTTTTTATAAATTTTACAATGATTGAAAATTAAAAGTAAAAATAAAAAACTAAAAGTTTGTTTAAAATGTGTTTTAGGACAAACAACAAAAGAAAAAACTTTATTAAAACTATTTTTATTCTTATGAATTTCTTTAATAATCAAGATAATATGTTGTAAAAATTTGTAAAAATAAAAGATTATTTTTTGGAGTTACAAATTTATGCGAACTAAAACTAAGAACAAAAACCTACAAAAAAAATTGAGAAAAACTATAATTAAAAACTTAAAACCATAACCATACTAATGACAGTGGTTTTGGGTTTTTATAAATTTTGTAACTAAAAAAGCAAAAATAAAAAATAAAAAATTAACAATTTGCTTAAAATAAGTTTTAACACTTACAACCAAAAAGATAAACTAGTTCAATAATATTAAAATTATTTTCATTATCATTTTTTTAATCATTATGATAATATATTATAAAAATACATTAACATAAATGATTTTTTTTTTTGTTTAAGTAACAAAATTTGTAAAACCAAAATTAAAAATTAAAAATCATAATCATTTTAATTAGAGCCTAAATCAATACGATTTTAGAACCTACCATATCATGTTGTATGAAGCATCCGGGGCAAAGCCGAATATTTAAGGTTATATTTGGGGGTGTTGCATACAGACTTTTTCTACAACACCTTATCTAAAAATATAAATTTATAACAAATAATTAATCTTAATTAATGTTTCGTATATTTTTAGTAATTTTAATCAATATTTTTTTTTATGTATTTTTATGATAGGAAAAGACAAAAAAGAAACTTAGAATGATAGTACATCCCAACACTGTACGCCAAAGGAAGCCTAAGACTTTAGGGACTATTTTATGACATGGAGAAAATTTTAAGGACTCTTCTATAATATTTTTGAGATTAGGAATTGATATGAGAATCTTAGAGAGTTGTAAGGACTCTGTTACTTTTTCCCATAATTTGAAACAAACAAGGCTCTTTTTAAGCAAAATAAAAGAAAAGAAAAGAAAAGAAAAGGAAATAGAAACATGCAATTGCTTGTTTTGCCTTTTTAATGAAATTATAATGATCTTTTTGCAAAAGTTGAAATCATTGAGGTCCATTTCACAATTGCCCATTTATCACCTTCGACCTCAAAAACTCAGTTTGTTTAAAACAGTTGATTTTTGAGGTTCTTATCTCCTTCATTTCTTAACATTTAAGCACATGATATTTATAGAAAAAGCTCATGAAATAATCTGTCTCCACATGCCGATTTCATATCAATATAACAAAACATAAAAGATTTCACTATTAATGAGTATTTAAGATCCAAAAGCACAAGTTTACAATAACTACACTATGATATACTATGTACGATATCTTTTACAACAAATACTTCTACCAAATATTACAACAAAGATCTGATACTATTTTGTTAACGTCAAAATTTGATTTTTTTAAAGTTTGGGAGGGTGAATGTCCACCCACAGGCCCTAGCTTTGCCCTTATGAAGCATTGTAAAAAGAAAAAAATTATACTTATAGCATTATTGTGTGTTTTTAACTTCCACATATCTTTTGGAAAAATTGATTTCTCGATATAATGTGAGATATAGGCACTTAACTAATGGAAGAACAAAAAAAAGAAAAAAGAAAAAAGAAAAAAGAAAAATGAAAAATAATGCTAGAAAATTATGTTAAAGGGGATGATTCCAACACTTTTGAAAGTATTAGAGACTAAATTAGTTAAAATATTAAAGTTTAGGGACCATCTTTTTTCGGTCTTTTAACCTTCCTTCATTGTCATATCTCCCTCCATCTAATTTATTTTAAAGTAATAAGGATGAAAGGTCTTGTATTAACAAGACTGCAAAGATTTTTTTTTTTAATGTAAAGATTAGGGATTAAACTCTAAACTTATAACTAAAAGCACATGTAATTCTATCACCAAATCACATGACTAATGTTACAAGAGTGTAAAGTTGTTTACATTAAAAATGTGATGTTTTTGGTGTTGAAGTATTTATATATAATGGGTTGGAGTATCTTATATACTCTCTAGTTGCTTATAGGCTCATTTATTGTTGGGGATGTATACAAGAACACACACAATAGTAATTTTGAACTGATAAAAGGAAATTTCTATAAAATTGAAGTAAATTGTAGTAGGCCAAGAATAATATATCGTTTTAATTTTTTGACAATGAAATTCTTTACGATCAATCTTGCAGTATACACATAATATCTATATAATATCAAACAAGTGAATTCATATAATATCATATATCATACTCAAATTAAATGAACTCTAAGAATTATGTCACATCATATTGGAAGGTATCATTGTTAAAAAATATTGACAAGAAATCATTTGCAATAATATTACCTTGACTTCGGAAGCAGGATTCAGCAGTGGTTCACTCTGTTCCTCTCTCAGTTTACTGTAGCGTTCAATCACAGATTTCATGCTGAAATGGAAAGAAAAGTAAGAACATTAGTTTCTATAACTTTCTATATTCCAAAACAAACCATAAAAGAAATTTCTTTTGATAAATCAAAAATATATATTTAATGGGATTACATTTACAAGGCATCAAAGCATAAAAAAAATAATAATTAGAGGATTAACATTACATCCTTTAAGTGCATGATGTTCGATTTAATTACCAGACCCAACGAACTTTTTATCTTATTTGAAACTTGCATAAAGAGTGGATAGGTAAAGATAGATCGAGATTTATTACATGTATTTAGATTTTTTATGTCAAAAATAATTTTTTCAGTTTGGACAAGTAAACTGAAGGACGTTGATTGTCATGCATTTCGATTCAACATATTATATAATACACTTATTAAAAAATTATTACCAAGAACCAGATTTGATATGGTGAGGTGATGCGTTTGTATAAGGAAAATGATCTGTACACATACGATTTAACACATTTTTTTTTATACATTTCTAGTTCAACCATTAAAAATATAATATAAATACTGTCAATTGGGTCAGTTCTTGCATTTTGTATATATGATTATATTTTTAAACTTGTTTGTTTTTAAAGACCAAGAAATAATAATTTTTTAATAAGTGTATTGTGTAGTGTGTTGAATTAGAGTGTATACCAATTACTGTCTATTTGTACAAAAATGTTGGTGAGTTTGGGAACCTGAAAGTTTAGAGGTGAACCAATTTGATGGAGGTGTGGATGGTGCAGATGCAATAAATAGAGAGAGCAAAATACAAAAGAAGTGGTGGGCCTATGGTAAACCCAAGATGAGGTTGCTACTCACAAAGTGATATGCCGTTGGGATGTCTAATGAAGGTGAGAGAAAGTGGGTTTGCACTCCAGCTTTATTAGAATAAGAAGCGAGGTAAAGAGAAAAAAGAGGGATAAAGTGAGAAATTTGAGATGTTATTGAGAGCTTCTATTGAACTTATAGGGCTAGTTTGTTTGAATGGAATAGATACTTTATATAGAAATTAGTGTTTATTAGTTAGATTTAAAAAAAAAAATTAGGAGGAAAAAGATTACAAAATTTCAATAAAGAAGCAAAGTAAAATAGCAAAACAATTTCATTCATACTTTAAAATATGTTACTTTAGTAGTCTTTTTTAATAAGAGTTTATTGAAATAACTTAACTTTAGAGTGTTTTTTTTCTTAATTTTTTAAAGGTTGGGCTAACAAACACTTTTCCTTTTCATATAGTTAAATTATAAGTAAAAGGCGAATTAATGAGAGAGTAGAAGGGATTGGGAAGGGAAGAGCTATATATTCCTTACCTCCTATAATTTATATTAACTAATGGTAGTTAATAAAGAATAGCTACCACCTAATGAAAGGTGTTTTTTCGATTTTTTTCCAAGACTTAATGAAAGATGTTATTAAGTATTTCCCATCTTATTTTACATTGTTAGATAAATTGATAAAAGTAAGTAAAATGTACTCCTAATATCTTGTATTCTCTTATTAATTTAACCTTTTTTCGATATTGATTTATGATCAAGATATTTTTGAATTAGTTTTTGTGTACTTTGAGATTAATTCCTGCCTAGATGATCTTAAGGTACACCCATTTGTCTAATGCATTTAAGGAAATTAATTTCCTTGAGTATTAGTCTTAAAACTTGAATCATATGCTTGATCTACAAGACAATACTTGTTACAAGTGAATCTAACTCTTAGAATTAATAATTTAACTTGTAAATAGGAAAATGATTGGTATAATCTTTTAATTTAGCACCATTTTTTTATACTTATCCAATTTAGTTATTGAAATATAATATAAGTATAGTTGATTCAACTAATTCTTATATATTGTATGTATAATTATGTCTTTAAATTTGTCTGTTTTTAATTTTATAATAAAAATAATAATTTTTTAATATATATTAAACCGAAAAGTATATTAATCAATATCTCTTGTAAATATACTTTGACCATGCAATATATATTCCAGAGACCAAAACTCACCCACATATGGGGTTGAGTTTCATTTTTAGAGATTGCTTCCATATTATAACCCTTCTCTTAGTAAATTTCTCCAATTAATTAAAGTCATTTCTGTATATGTCAAGGACATTAAACAAGGCAACGTCGTACTTACACACGCTCGCACATGAAGAAGCACACGCGTGCACATACGTAAAACAAAAATACATATAGTACATCATAAAGAAGACTTTTATTTATTAAACTTAGTATTTTAATTAATAATATAATTCATTCTCTCTTTTTTTTTTTCCCTGAAAAAAGCCCATATATTCAAGTGATAAACTGTTATAGTACACCAACTAATTAATTAAACCAATAATATGTGCCATATAGGTAAAAAAAGGTGTATACCTATATGACTACTATGAGAAGATATTACCCATAATAAATCTAAATAATTAATTTTTAAGCCTAGAGAGCCTTCAAAACAGTAAAATATATCTTAGCAATAGTTATCGGGACAATTACAAGACCATAGATACTAGAAAAGTCGTTGTTATGAGCATCCAAAACTTCTATAAACAACTAGCTGACATTACAAACAGTCCCCATCCTACTATATATAATGTCTTGCTAAATGAATTTGAATACTATCCCGGAAGGGAAATGGTAGCCCCTTCATGTCCCAAATTAAAACTATTCTCTAATGAGTCCATTGGGTTTGACAATATAATTTTAGTCATGATTTATAAGAACAATTAAAACTTATTATACTTTCTTTCTTTTGTATAGAATATACACTCATTCAGTGGAATTATAAATCTCGACTTTGGTGAGATTGTATTAATATGTTAGATAATATGGAAATTATGATATGGAAGTACAATTTTTTTTATACAATGGTTTGTACAACATGATATGTACAACATTTTGTGAATAATTATAATTTTATGTAGAGTATTTTTTATTATTGAACTGATTTAAAAAATACATATTTTAGTATATAATTAAACACATTATAACACAAAACATCAAATATTCACACCCACAAAAAAAGTGTCCGTCTCTATGGATTGTTTAGCATTGTTGCCTAAAAATATGAAAAAAAAAAAAATTATGATACATTATTAGAAGATCTATGTAGATAATTTAGGACCTGTTTAGTAATGTTATTGCTTTTGATATTATAAACAAAGCTAATTTTCTAATTCATTACTTTTTTATTTTAATTTAGTGTTACTAAATTTTTAAAAACTAAAATTAAAAATTAAATAATAGTAACATTACAAAATGGACCTTAGTATTAATTGTTAAAATAATAAAATAATTAAAATTAAAAATTAAAACTTGTAAAACATACAAAACCTTATCCCCTGTAAGATTTGAGGGAAATAGAGAAAAGAGATGAAAAATCCTTATCTTCTGTTTAATTTGAGGGAAATGAAAGGGAGAAAGAAAAATCACTCTCCTCCTTTTGTTTAGTTAGACTAAAATATATAAAAAAATTATACCAAAATAAGGGAAAATTGCTCCCCTTCTATTTTTAATTAAACAAATAGGGAAATTTCTTCCTCTCCCCTTCTCTTCTCTCCCCTCATATCGGTCTCTGTTATTTTCCATCTAAAATAATTTTTATAGGACAATGATATGGACATACAATGGGCAACACCCAAATCAATACCCAACTGACCAGTAGAACTGGGAGGAGGGTAAATTTACCAGTTTACTTCTACTGGTCAACTGGGTGTTGATTTAGGTGTTGCCCATTATATGTCCATATCATTGTCCATTTTTATATCCCTTATTATCGTGCTCAATTATAGCTCTCTCTCAAAGCAAAAGACATCTTGTAGATTCAAAAAAAGTATACATTTATATTGGTTCGACGAAATGCCTATTCCATGGTGAGAGTAAGGAAGACTATTCCTTACATGTAACAATTTCATCTAGTAATTAAGAGGAAATAACTAAACTTGGGAGATGTTAATTTTTTGCTATTCAATCATACCGTATTTCACTATGTTAGAATAAAATTGATGAAAACCTAGAATTGTCATTTCTAATATGTCATTCTTTCTAACTTACATTAATTTTTGTAAATATATATATATAAAAGCTTACATTAATTTTATAATTTGAACAAAAAAAGTCATTCCTCCAGCCAGAGATGACATACAGAACCTACTATTCAGTTATCCCTCATTAATTTCTTGCTTAGATATACCTACAGAATTCAAAACCGAATTTATATCCATCCAAGGAATATGAGAAAGCACACTGAACTCAGGCTCAGCTCAGTGATCCAGGCAGGAGGAGGAAGAAGAGGAATTAATTTTCAGTCTGTTATATGCAGCACTTTCCCAAGAGACAAAGAGAGAGTTAGATTGAGTCAGGGAATCTGACCTAGTGTTTGCATACTCATAAAGCTTGTTGGTGCTAGAGAAGATAATCAATCCAACCTCCGCATCACAAAGGATCGACAGCTCCTTCGCCTTCTTCAGCAATCCATTTCTTCTCTTCGAAAAAGTCACCTGCCTGCTCGTAGAATTATCAATTCTCCGGATCACAATCTTCCCTCTACCCATATATGTACTTCCTCTTCTGCAACAATTAATCACAGAGCTAATTTTAATTAATTTCACAGCTCTTCTAAATTTCTTCTTGCTAGATCGGAAAATCACAAACAAAAACGAGCTCAGAAACCTCACTAAATCAACGTTTATCTCAAGATTTTGACTATAAATGAAAGAAGAATACAGAAGTAATTTAAATTCAAATATTGAAGACTGATGGCTTATGGATCCAGGAAAAAGAAAAGAGAAAAAAAATGAAGGAAAAATATGTAGAAAATCTTACTTGTTTTAAAGAAAGTCCTAGGAGGCCAATATAGCTTGCTTGGGGGAGAGAGAAAAGGAGATTCGACAGGTTTGGAGAAAGAGTGACAGTGTTTCTAATATGGAAAGCTTAAAGCGGTTTTCCAAGACTGGAAAAACCGCTATTGAATAACAAAACATGGAGCCTAAAACCGCTTAGTGGTTTTACTGTTCGAATACCGAAATTGGCAGGTGTAAGAAATGTCAAAAAAATAAAGAGAAATCTTTGACTTGCCTACCCTCGAGAGTACAAAAACAACGCATACTCGCTTGGCTTTCATTACACGTTTCACAGGAATCAAACAAAATTTTGATGGCCATTGGAAGAGAATCGGAGACAGATTTCAACGACAAGTGTCGGAGAATGGGAGCGAGTTTAAAAGTTCTGTACTCGAGCTCGTGGGGGAGAATATCCTCGTACATGGAAAAGGCCCCCAGGAATCGTGGGGGCGTGGAAATAGTGGAAGGTATAGACGTATAGATCATCGGCACGTGTGCGGTGGGTATTTGAATTATTTATTAGGGAAATTCTATTTTTTAATTGGTTGGAGAGAGAGTGCTGGGTGGCCTTTCTATTAGTGACGGTTGGATCCTTTCTCTTTTGAGGTTTCTAATTAGGGTTGCCTTTGCCTCATCTTTACCAAGCTATGTGAATTGGATGCTCAAAACTTTGAACTTGGATTTGTTAGTGTGGATTCCAAATTATATAGAAGCATCGATCGATTCAATAATGAGTTAAAATAAATTAGATTACTCTTTAATCTCCATCGAATATTGAAAATTGATTTGATTTAATATGTTATAAAATTAAAAAATTTAGATTTGTTATGATAAAGTAAAAAAGAAAAATAATAAAAAAACTTATCGTTAGTATATATAATTAGTTTTTTTTCTTTTGCTTTAATATAATTGTTTAGTTATTATGAAAAGGACCTTATATACGTGATTTCACATGTTATTAGTAGGTAATAAGATAATTAAGTGAGGGATACATTCGTAAATTAATATATTTATTTTATTTATTCTATTTTGAATATGTTAGTATCTATTTGTACAAATAATTGGAGACCCATATAATTTTTAATTGTGGCTGGGATGCCTAATCAATCTATTAACATCATCACACATGGACGGGAAGTATTATTCTTATTTATTCCACTTGTTTAGTACAATTGATCATCTATTTTCTCAAAACCTCTCCATGTCTCAAGATTTAAACATATTGATCTTCAACTTGAAATTATAATTATCAGTTGATATGTACATTCCCTTAATGACTACACTTTCCATTATCTTAATATATTCTATTCCTGTTGAAAAATTGGACTAATAAAAAAAATATCCTTGATACAATCATTAAAGTTTTAGGCTCCATTTTTTATCTAGTTTAAAAACTTTAGTAATTTATATATGTTATATTTAGACTACCAGAATTACTATATATAGTCTTAGTTTTTCTTTTCAAAAAAATGAAAACAAAAAAACTAGAAACAGCCCCATCACACATTTTCATCCCTTAGTCAAAAACAACTTTTGGTATTAATTAAAATATATTTTAACACATTAATGGGAACAACCACAAGCTGACAACCAATTTCAAGGTGGTTCTGGCATAGTTATTTAAATTGAAATTTTTTTAAAGTAAAAAAGAAAGTCAAAAAGTGTAAAGTTTTTGTTTCGAGTCAAAAAGTGTAAAGTTTTTGTTTCGAGTTCAATTAAGGTTTGCCGAAATAGGTTGATGGAAGGCATGCGCACACAAAAACCCATCCCCTAGTGTTTCTTGCTCTCATAGTTATAGTTTGGTTGGAAGTTGCAACCATCGAACTTTTGGAAATATTCCAAATTATCAAAGAAAAAGAGGAAACTTTGGAGAGAGATACAAAGAGAGAAGAAACAACGATGTAGGCATAAAGAGGGAGACAAAAGAGAGGGCATTATCACTTTCCACAAATACTAGTTAAACAAGTAAAAGAAAATATTTAATTTTTTTATTTATACAATAAAATCTCACAATATTTACAGTATTATATAAATGAGTGCAAACAATTTACACCATTCACTAAGCCTAATTTTTGCTATGTAAGACTGTACTTAAGATTTCATTATTGCAAGATTGTAATGTTGTGAGTTGATCATTTTCCATAGTATTGAAACTTTTATTCTCCATCATTGGAAAAATTGAAGTTCCTCTGGCATTTCTTTTAATTATATTTAATTTCTATGAACTTAGTCTAAAAAAAAATGATAAAATTAAACATAATTAACGTCATATTCTCTTTTGCATAGATATTGAGAATAGATAAAAAAAAAAAAATGGAATCTATTGCTAATTAGGAAACTTAATTTTAATTCTACTCATGTGAGAATCACCATATGTCCACTCACTTTAAGGAAAAAGGAATATTCCTCCTTACTCTCTACTCTTTTGGAAATATCCCCCCTTATCTTCAACTCTTTTGGAAATATTCCGAATTATCATGAAACATTCAAAGTTACCGATGAAAAAATATAAAAAATTTAACAGGTACTCATTTAAGTGGCCAGTAAACATATATATTTGCAAATTTGTACTACATATTACAGATAGCTTATGACGGACAATCTTTGGCCTTTATGTATACATAAATATAAGAAGGGTATACAGTGTTCTTGATTTTATATAAGAAGTTGTCCTTCTCCAATTTACATTTTTCGTTTAAAATAATCAGCAATTAACATATGTAAAGGCGAAAGCTAGAGCTGTTTGAAGAGTTATGTTAACTGATGATAATAACTTAAAACTTCTTTTTTTTTTTATCAGCTAATAGCTTAAAACTTTAAATTCAAAGTTTGAGACGAATGTGGAGAGATATATTTGAGAAAAGGAAGAACTATCTCATCTTGTTTTTGTTGTATATAGCTGATAATCAGACATGAACGCAAAAGTTTTCTTCCTGATCCACCTTTCTTATTAGTTATCCCCCGGCTTTTTGATTCTGTACTTATCTGTAAAATCCTTCTCCTTTCTCCAGCACGTGAGAGACACAATCATCGGCTCCCCACTACTATTTTCTGCTCTCCCACGTCTTTTATCGATCTCATCCAGCTGGAAACATCCGTACACTGGAGCCATCACAAACGAGGATGAATTTTAGAAGCAAGAATTGGCGAATCAAATTACAGCTTGTATTGCATATATCCACATTGATTCTATACATCGCATCGATCCAGCTGATTTTAAAATTAGGATTTTTGTTCTTAAAATGTTTGTCATCTCACTTCCTATTGGTTAAGCCACGTCATCGTGATTATGGTATCTAATGTGTGAAGGTTATTTTTCCTGATCCTCTCAATTACTCGGATTAAAGGCTAGAATTAAGAGAAACACGCAAAAAGTAAGAGAGACAAGGTGTCAATCATAAGAAATCATAAATGCACTTTGCCAAGTACAACAATATGCAATTGTGCCCTCTACATACCTTTGAAGAAAATGTTGGGTGTTCACATGCAAATACAAAAAATCTCATATCAGAAGTGAAGAGTAAAGAGTAAGTGGCTTATATATGTAGATATTTATAAACTTAATAGACTAATCTTTTGAATTCAAGATGATATCTTTACATGTTGGGTCCTTAAGTGTTGCAACCAAGCTGGTTACTCAACTCAACAAGGTGAGTAGTGGCTTGAACCCCTAACAAGAAATTGTGGTGGGCCCGATGCCATGAGAGTGGTGAGTGCCTCTGCTCTTTTTGGGTGTTGAGAGGCAGACAATTTCTCCAACCGGTGTTATTCTCAACCATGAAGGTGCACTAGCATGAGATATGTTGGAGACTCACAAGTGAATAGGAAATATTGTTGGGTGTTCACATGTGAGTAAAGAGAATCTCATATTAGAAGTGATTAAGATCAAAAAGTAAGTGGATTATATATATAGATACCTATAAATCTAGTAGACTAGTCTTTTGGCGTGTTCAAAATGATGATATCTTCACATGTTGAGTCTTTATTCAAGTGTTTGTTTCCAATCCAATTGCTCAATCTAATAACGTGAGTAGTGCTCTAGAAAAAACCTTTATTTAGTTTCTAGTCTTATGGTATTTGTAAATCACCTTTGGTAGATACTTTGGAGTTTTTACACTTAAATGACAATATTGAAAAGATTTGGACCTTATATTTTATCAAGGTTTCTCCTAAGTCCTTATTACTTAAGCCGATACCAATGAGTTCTTGTGTGATTCTATTTGGGCAATGATATAGAAACAACTTTTATGTACAACCATTTTACTTAATTTTTATATGTAATTAAATAAATAAATGTATTCAATATTATAGATCTCAAATAAATAAAAAATAATTATTATTTAAATGACATGTAAAGTTATATAAAAAATGATATAAAAAATTGTCTTTGAATCATTTCTCATTCTATTTGTATGCCCGGTTACTTTGTCACTTGTTGTCATGGGGATGCCAAAAATGTTTCCTGGAGAGAGCTTCATCAAATATTAATTATTCTCACAGATGCGTATCAAATTACAATAGGTCATTTATTATTATTTTTTTAAACAGTTAAATTGTCTTTGGATTAGTTTTTGTATATTTCATGATTAATTTTTTCTCTAGTCATCTTAATTAAGGGTACACTTTCCACATCAACTTGGTGCATTCAAAAATATTAATTTTCTTAATTACTAATCCCAAAACTTGAATTCTAAACATGATTTATAAGACAAAAGAACATTCACTTACTAATGAATATGATCCTTGAGATTTACAATAGGTAATTTGCTGTGAATTTGTGGATTTTTAAATAAAAGTAGCTCGGTTGAAAATGGAGATTACTCTTCACTTTAGTAATCAATATTTAATTCCTTAAAATAATACAAAGAATAATTAATACACATTTTAGTTTAACATATCAACCAACACATACTGGTTTAACCATTGAAATTTATAACTTTAAGTTTTTTCACCTTTAATTCAAATTTAAAACTAATAATTTTTTAATAAGTGTATTATGAAATGTATTTTATAAAATATGTTAAATCAAAAGATGTACTAATTAATATCCAAATGATATATTATTATAAGAATTTTATTTTCAGCAAGAGAGAGATGAGAGGTAGAGCGAGAGGGAGAGCAGACGGACATCGAACACGGATAGCACGAGCAACACTGAGTTACGGACATGGGAGATCACGAGGGAGAAGCAAGCAGAGGAGCTATCGATCAGAGGAACAGAGGAGATTGCAAGGAGGGAAGTCCAATACTGGGGGAACGTACAACAGGGGGCTGTATAAACAAGCAACGCCATACTTCTTCACCAACTTCCCAGAGGAGTGGAGTTATGCAGAGATGTGGATGACTTTCCGCAAATTTGGAAGGGTATTAGACATATACAGCCCAAATAGAAGAAGCAAGAAAGGACAGAGATTCGGATTTGTGAGATTCTTGGATGTGAAGAACATAAAGGAGCTGGAAAGGAGTCTAGATCAGATATGGGTAGGCAAATTTAAGCTATGGGTGAATATTCCACGGTTTAGAAACGATGAACTGAACAGGGAAGAGGAGCATAGCAAGATACTAAGAGCGAAACCGAAGATACAAAAAAGGACGTATGCAGAAGTGGTGAAGGGACAGTATGGGAAGGAAGTAGGAGGTGACGCAGAGGCAAAACAGAAAGACAATGGGAGCAGGAGCCACGAGGGGGGATATCAAAAGAAGTAGCACAAGATCAGAACCTCGAAGCAGAGAAAAAAATCTAGTCTGGAAGGAGAAAGGACAGGGGGATCAATGGGCTGGCATGGATTACAATGTAAAGGAAGAAGAATATTCATGGCTAGAAGGATGCTATGTGGGAAAGGTCCATTCCGTTGAAATGGTTCGAAATCTACAGGAGAAGTTCTATATGGAAGGCTATTTCTCTTGTAGAATCCGTGCAATGGGGGGCAAATTGGTGCTGTTGGATTGTGATGATAAAGAGGAACTGAAAGACTTGGTAGAGATGGCATCAGATTGGTTAGAGCAGTGATTTGAGGAGGTGAGCCCATGGACACCGAAGAAAGTGGCATCTGAAAGATTTGTTTGGATTAGGTGCCAAGGAGTTCCTCTAAACGTTTGGAATTCGGAATTCTTTGCTGAAATGAGTTATGCATGGGGGAAGTTTATCTGTGTAGATGATAGCACCAGCCAAAAGAGGAGATTCGATATTGGCCGATTCTTAATATCAACGTCAATCATGGGAACAATTTCTGTTAGGAGGTCTATAAGGATTAATGGGTCCATTTACAACATTAAGTTCACGGAGGAGGAGTTTACCAATGGCTTCTTTTCTCTGAAACAAGATTTCTTGCCTACCTTCCAAAGCGACTCAGAAGAACAGGAATCCTGGATGATGGAAAGTGAGGAAGAGGATTTGGGCTGTGACGGTGCAGAAGAAGTTAGGGGTGAAATTGGAAGACACAAGGAAGTTGAGGTTGATGATGATGACGTGGCAAGCTACTGGGAGGAGGGCAACGGTAAACCTATAGCTCAAGCCTTGAGGGGAAGTGAGATGACAGTTGACAGGGTTACTGACTCCCTGCAAAAAATTCAAACCGAGAGGGAAGGGGACTCCAAATCAGATAGGGAGC